GTTGGAACTCATAAAATACTTTTTATTCATGCTAGTTTGTGTATTATTTTTCTGAATACAGAGTAGCTATAATGTCTATTCATTTTATTCTATATAGTTTTCTTCAGACTTGACTAACGCAGAGCAAGGATGTTATGATTTTCCTGTGTTCTGATGGTTGTATAGTCAGTAGTTTTACTTGCGTAGCATTTTGCAGTTCACTCAGTGCTTCTCTCTGTCAGTAAAGATCAGTTTCAGCCATAAATAACCGAAAACCCCAAATAACAGTGGCTTAAAAAAGACAAAAGTTGGGCTAGCCCTGATGGCCTAGTGGTTAAAGTTCAGCGTGCTCTGCTTCAGTGGCCCGGGTTCGGTTCCCTGGGAGTGGAACCACACCACTCGTCTGTCAGCCATGCTGTGGCAGTGGCTCACATAGAAGAACTAGAAGGACTTACCACTAGAATATACAACTATGTACTGGGGCTTTGGGGAGGGAAAAAAAAAGAGAGGAAGATTGGCAACAGATGTTAGCTCAGGGCAAATCTTTCCCAGCAAAAAAAAAAAAAAAGATAAAAGTTAATTCTCTCTTGTGGAAAAGTCTTAAATAGGGAGTTCAGGGTTCCATGTGGTGCTCTGCATACTGATCTACAATGTGTGAGGGATTCTGGCTCTTTCTTCATGCTCTTCTTGTTTTTCTGCTGTTAGGGCCTCAAATTCATGGTCTAATATGTCATCATCTGTGTACTATGCAGCAAGATGGAGGAAGGGATGAGTATGAGAGCAAAAGGCACCTATATGCTATCTCTTATGGATAGTTTCTTGAAGTTGTCACTTGATACTTATGCATGTATCCCATTTGCCAAAATTTAAGTCACATGGCCAGCTAGCAGCTGAGGAGGCCAGAAAATGTATTGTTTATATTCGGCAGCCACCTGTCTAGTTAAAAATTCCTTCACCATGGAAGAAATGGGGGGTAGGGGAATGGATATTGGAAAGCAACTATTAGTTTCTGCCACATCATCTGTGTTTTTTTTGTCCCACTACTTCTGTACTTTTTACTCCACACTACTGTACATGGCAAGCAGGTCAAGTTATCTCCATTTTATGGGTGATGATATTGATTTTTTGAGAGATTAAATTCCTTGAACAGCTCAATTAGTGTGCTTGATTTAGAAGGCTAATCACAAGGCCAGTGTCTGGCACAGCTGGGAGTAAAGAGGTGGTCATCTATCATTGGATTACAGAGAAGTCTAATACCAGTGAAAATTGTAATATTTTGAAATGAAGAACAAAATTCTATGGAATAGATAGAAATTTTGTGGATGGAGTGGGAAATTTTTTTTTTTCATCAGACTCTGTAGCTTATTTCCTAGGTGAGGATTTATTTGTAAACAGATTTAAAAAATTGCATGTTATCTAAGACTGCATAACAAATTTCACCAAACTTACTGAGTTAAAACTTTATTATCTGACAGCTTCTATGAGTTAGAAATGCAGGTTCTTAGCTTGGTCCTTTGGCTCTGGGTCTCTCACAGGCTGCAGTCATCTCAAGACTTCATGAGAATGGTCCTGCTTCCTAGCTCGTTCAGTTCCTCCTAGGTTATTGGACTGAAGCATCAGTTCATCATGACCTATTGGTCAGAGGTCTCTTTTGTTTCCTTGACTTGTGGCCTCTCCATAGGGCATCTCACAACATAGCAGCTTGCTTCATCAGAGCAAGCAAGCAAGAAGTCAAGAGAGAGGGCCAGCAGGAAAGAACATGCTAGCAAGATGGATGTCAGAATTTTTGTAACCTAATCATGGAAATGATATCTCATCACTTTTGTGGTATTCTGTGCATTAGAAGCAAGTCACTAGGGCCAACCCACACTCTAGGAGAGAAAATTACACCAGTACATGAATACCAGGAAGCGGGGACTGTTGAAACCACATCAGACGCTACCTAACACAAAAAATACTTCAAAACAGAGAAAGAGTCCTCCAAATATGGTAACTCTACATCATCACTTGTAGTAGCTCTGGTGCTGAAGTAGATAATGTCTAAATAACTTTGGATTTTGATTTCAGTATTTGGTTACTTGAACTGTTTTGATTTTGATAGGATGCTAGTAAGCACAGCCTTCTTTCCTGAAATATAGGAGTCATTCAACTCATTGAATTTAGTTCGAGAAATTCTAACTACTCATTCAGTAGGGTCTGTGGATATAGCATGTGTATATGTGCTGTTAGCTGTTTCCCTAACCTCAACCTAGGACAATAACTGCAACTCATTAGTGTTCGTGCATGCTTATTGAATGAATGCATGAAAATAGACCTGGGAATTACAAGATACTGCTGCAAATGGAGACCTAATATTGGGCTCGTTTTTCTCATTAATTAGTAGCGTGATCTCTGATTAATAACTTACTTCATCTCCTCAGTCTTCTTTTTAGAGTAAAAGATTTGGATAAAAAATCCAAAATTCTTCCAAGTCCATGTTTTATTTTTTATAAGTGATTCATACCTTTTGATTCAATAATTCCACTTGAAGATTGTATCTCTAGTTTACAAAAATGATCTTATACAGGGGTGTTTGTAACAGCATATAGTAAAAATAAATAATTGTTATCCCCTTATCAGTAGGGAATTATTTTAATCGATTATGGAGAACTATGCCTTTGTATAGATTTATTTGTTGTCATGGGAAGTTGTCCATGATGTGTGAACTGCAAAAAATGTATAAAACACTGTGTATAATACTCAATTTTTGTTTGAAAAAATAAGTGAAATGGATACGTGTTTGACTAGTCATGTACATATGCATATAAAAATTTCTGGAAGTATACAACAAAATAGTTAACAGTGTTTTACTCTTGATGGATGGTATTAGATTATTATTTTTTTATCATTCTGTGTTATATGTTTACTTATTTTTAATTGTGGTAAAATATATACAACATAAAATTTACCATTTTAGCCATTTTTAAGTGTTCATTTCAGTAGTTATGTACATTCACATTGTTGTGCAAATTCAGAACTCTTTTCATCTTGTCAAACTGAAACTATACCCATTAAGCAACAACTCCCTGTTTTCGCTCCTCCCAGCCTCCGGCAACTACCTTTCTACTTTTTGTCTCTATGAATTTGGCTACTCTAGGTACTTTATATAAGTGGAATGATACATATTGTCTTTTTGTGACTGACTTATTTCACTTAGCAAAATGTCTAAAGGTTCATCCATGTTATAGCACGTGTCAGAATTTTCTTCCTTTTTAAGGATGAATAATATTCCATGGTATGTATAAACCACATTTGGTTTATCCATTTATCTATCAGTGGGCACTTGAGAGATTTCTTCCGTCGTTTGTCTATTGGGAATAATGCTGCTATGAACATGGGTATACAAACATTTCTTTGAGATTCTACTTTCAATTCTTTTGGGTATATACCTAGAAATGGAATTTCTGGATCATATGGTAACTCTATTTTTAATTTTTTAAGGAACCTCTGTACTGTTTTCCATAGCAGCTGCACAATTTTACATTCCCACTCACAATGCACCAGGGTTCCAATTTCTCCACATCCTCTCCAACACTTGTTATTTACTGTTTTTTGTTAATAGTAGACATCCTAATAAATTTGAGGTAATTCTTTATTATTTATTTTTTGATGTGTTGCTATTACTTTTTATATTCAGAGTGAATAATAAAGGTATTTTCATTTTGTAAAAATTGAACAAATTAACAACTTTTTATGTTTTAGTATTTATCCAATATTGTTTTCTATTACAGCAAGTACTACATTTATTTCAAATGCAGTTGTAAATTGTTTATTGAGATATAAGAGTTGATTACTAGGATAAATTAGAAGCTTGCTGCTAAAGGGTATTTTGAGTTTTTAGTAAAGCACTGTGAATGTCATAGTAAATATCTTAATTGTTTTTAAGCATTGGAAACCCAAGATTTATCAGTCTTAGTAAATATTGGCTGCTAATTTTTTAATAGAATATTTTTGCTCAGCCTTTATTGACTAATTAAACTTATGTTTACCAATGTCTTTTTAATAAACAACTTGATTTGAGGTATAATTTATCATAAAATTAATATGCTTTAAGTGTACAATTCAGTGATTTTTAGTAAAGGTAATGAGTTGTTCAACCATCATCATAATCTAGTTTAGGACATTTCTGTTGCCTCAGTAAGATCCCTTGTGACCAGGACCTTTCGTGGCTCTATAGAATTGGTAGCAAAAGATTTTCTTATGACAGGGCTGTATTTATTGCTTATTTTAAATGAATATAAATGTCTTCTATCCACTGTATTCTCCTGTACCTTTGAAATATACACAAATAGTGCATATTTTATTTAGGGGACTATATAATGATATGCATGAAGTGTGTTTGAATTTGCACAACTTTTAGCAAGGAAAATCTTGCATCAGAGAGAAGAATTCTTTCATGTTTATTTTAGAGAGTCCCAATTAAACATTTTTCAGTTTGACTTTAGTTTTTGATCTAAGCTGGTTTATTTTTAGCAGATCGCAGTAGGAAAGATTGACAAGCAAATGAAAAGCCCTTTTAATTATTTGCTGCTCATAAATATCGAAACCTTCCTAGGCAGGTCATGCTTATAGATAATGAAAATGAAAAAGAACTAAATAGAACAGTTTATCATTAATAGAGTAATAAATGCAGTTGTTGGCAAAATTGGTATTTTCCTGCTAACTCACCAGAGGGCACTCTTTTCTAGTTTATTACTTTTAACTCTGATCTTTTGAATTATTATATTATACTTTGAAAAATTTAAATCCTTTATTGGGATCCAGGTTTGGGTTATTTGGAGACTTATGGTGATTTTCTTTTGTAACTTTTAATTTTTTTGTGATCTGTTTTATAATAGCATCATTAAAAAGGCTTCTACAAAGAAGCCAATCTTAAATGCTTTAGTTAATAGTATATATGGCACAAAATATCTCTTCAATTTAGTCCTTTTTTGCCTAACAGCTCTATACCATCACTGTTTCTATTTGTTGATGTTAAATAGGTTTCAGATCGGGTGGAACGACGGCTTCAGGAGATAGAAAGAGAGATGCGCACAGAAAGAGAGCTGGTGGAAAGACGTCAAGATCAACTGGGACTTATTTCTTTGCAGCTACAGGAGGTTTGTGAAAAATACCTTCTCAGAATGTAAATCTTGAGTTTGGATAGTTGTTTAGCCATTCTTCAAGTGGTTGTATTTCGTTGGTGGTTACATGTAACAGTGTAATTCAGTCTAACGAGAAGTACAGCATATTGGTTATAGTTCAGTGTGTGAAGACAGCCCTACCTGGTTCAAACCCAGTGTACTGCTTGCTGGCTGTGTGAGCTTGGGCAAGTTCCTTAACCTCTTTAGGCTCATTTCCTCTGTGGAAAATGGAAATAATAATCGTATTTACCTAATCAGATTGGTGTGGGGATAAATGAGTTAATGCTGGTAAGGCACTTAATATAGTGTCTGGCATGTGCTCAAAAAATGTTAACTAAAAGTGTAATCATTCTGATTAATTTTCCTTGGCGTGAACTAGACCAGGTTTCAGCAAACTATGGTCTATGGACCAAATATGGCCCATTGCCTATTTTTGTAAATAAAGTTCTGTTGGAACACAGCCACTCCCATTCATTTACAGTTTGTCTGTGGGGCTTTTGTGACACAATGGCAGAGTGAGGTAGTTGTGAAAGAGACCATATGACCCACAAAGCCTAAGTGTTGACTGTCTGGACCGTTATAGAAAAAGTTTGCCGACCCCTGGACTAGACTATCGTCAAATCAGTTCAAATGAAGGTGACTTACCCTTTAGGTACCTTTTTTATTTTGAGATTTCAGACATATGAAGAAGTCCAAAAATTAGAACAAGGGATTTCTGTATACTCTTTACATAGATTCTCCTAATATTCACATTTTACCAGACTTGCTTTATCATTTTATATATCTCTCCATAAATATATACATATCTATATATATGTATAGATAAAATTTTTTGAGCTAGTTGCAGACATGATGTGAATACTTTTACACCTAAATAATATGGTGTGTACGTTCTCTTGTACAATCATAGGAAGTTAACATTGGATCAATACTATGATTTAGCCTATAGGTTTTATTCGAGTTTTGCCACTAACGTCCTTTTCTGGTCCAGGATATAATACAGGGTCACATATAGCATTTGACCATCATGTCTCTTTAGACTCCTTTATCTGAAACAGTTTTTCAGTCTTTCTTTGTCATTCATGATCTTGACAACTTTGCAGAGTATTGGCCAGTTATTTTGTAGAATGTCTTTCATTTTGGGTTTGTTGATGTTTCCTTGTGACTAGATATTAGGTTATGGACTTTTGGTGGGAAACCCAGAGAATTCGTGTTGCGTTTTTCCCAGGATATCACATCAGGAAGCGTGTAATACTGATTTGTCTCATTACTGTAAAGCTGAGCATTTGGTTAAGGTGTTGCCTGCCAGGTTTCTCCACTGTAAAGTTACTATTATGCCTTTTTAATTATTTATTTTATGGGGAACCTTTTTGAAACTTGAAAATAGCCTACTTCTCATCATACTTTCACCCACATATTTAGCATCTATTACTGATTTCTTTCGTGCAACAATTATTACTATAAGTGATGCTAAATAGTGATTTTTTAAAAATTTCATCATTCTTTCTACATTTATTAGTGGGATTCCTACTGTAGGGAAGGGCTTGGTCTTTTTCTCCATTCATTCATTTATTCATTTATATTGCTGTAGATTTGTGAATTCTCATTTTATTACATTGGTTATGTTTTATTATTATCGTTATAGAAAATTAATTTGTGAATTTTCCTTTAAATGTTTCTTAGATCTATATATAAAGTATAAAAAATTAGAGATAACAAGAAAACCAACAGATTAAAAACAAAATAATTTTTTTCTTATACAAAATAATTTTCTCTAAAAGTGATATTGTGCAAACTCACTTATGTGTGCTTTTGAAGATCATTAACCCTTACAAATAGATAGATTAAAATATTTTTTTCAACTATTAGGAGACACTGCTAATTGAAAATTAGTAACAAAAATTGCAACCCTGAAGTTACAATGTAAGCTGATAGAAAAATCTGCTTTTGTTTTCTAAAATTCTATTTTCCACCATTTCACAAAAGGAGGAATACCCTTGTTAGTTGGTAATTACTTTGAAGAGGATACTTTGTTGAATAATTAGATACAGCATGTGGGTAGCCTTTTTTTAAACCTTGATTTTTACACATTTGTTCTCAAAAGCAAATTGCATCTGGTGAGCATAAGAATAGTACTGAAGAGACAATTGTTCTTTTTTGCAAGAGAAAATTAGAGAAATTTTCTGTGCTTATTTTCTTCTCTCTTTGCAGAATGCACAAAATTACAAAGAAAGAGAGAGAGGAAGATTGCTTCCCACCCCTATTCTTGAGAAACCAAAGCCTGAATATTTGCATTGTAATTGTCAATTTGACTAAAAGCTTGAGCTGTGATTTGGAATTCCATCTCTGACAATACAATACAGGATCACTATTGATAAGAAATGTTTAATTTCATATTTTGTCACTTTAATATAAGTGGTGACCTACCTATACGCTTTTCAAAGGTGGTTTTGGATTAAACAGTGCGGTGGAAACTCGAAAGGATTAATTTAGGCTGATTCCTACTCCCAAGTTAAGTGGCTTAGACCGTTCTGCAAAGGGCATGTTTAAGGAGAGAAAACACTTTGCTTTCTTTTTGATATTAAAAAATACGGAAATACCCATTCTGTATAATAGTAATTGATATATTTTGTTTGTGGTGAGAAATTGAATCTATAGATGAGTAAGTAGGCCTGGACTTTTAGGCACTATATTCTTCTGCCTTCCTAAAACGTAAAATTCAATGTTAGTGAAAATTCTGACATTTAGCAGTTGTTAAGAGATTAGGAGTATTCATTAAAAATTGCAGGATGTCAGAGATTTCTAGGTATAATGTCATATTACAGGGAGGCAATCTGTGGTTTTGGTTAAAACCTGCTTCTTTTTAGTGATCTAATGAGGTCCTTAGGTCCTTGGAGCTTTATCTGTTTCCATTTAATGAAAAAAAATATTAATTATTGGAAATTGGTTGAGGGAAAGTGACTCTCCTTTTCTTGTTTAGAGTTTTTAAGGAATTATTTACTGTTTTCTGTTTTTTTTTTTTTTTTCCTCCTGGTCTAAGCAAAAAGGCTATGCGTGCTCTGGAATCCACTTCCTTTTTTGAGCCTCAACTAGATATGCTAATGATGTCACATGAATGTCAGATTTTCTTAACTTGGTAAAGACCTTCACTGGCCTTCAGACCTCATATATCATATTTTAAACAACACTGTTTTGGTATCTCAGTTGAGGTCTCTTCTTTAAAGATGAATGTTTTATATTAGTTGTGCAATAATATTCTTTCCATATATCTCTTTTAAATTTTGAATGGTTGTTCTTAAGTACTCTGAAACTTTTACTACTCAAATTCAAATATTACTAAGCCTATAACCATCATGAATCTTTTCTTGTTGAATCATTGTGCAAACAATAAAGCGTTTGTTTAACATTAGGGTACATTTATCATATGCAAACTTCTTTTGATCAGATGCTTGATAGTTAGCTGAGTGATTAGTTAAATTTAGTGGAGTGGGGTAGGAATGGTGGGTGCTAGGGTCATGAAAGAGGTATTTAGACTGTAAGCCTAAGTCAAAACTCTTTTTTGCAGGTCCAAAATGCACATAAAATCCTAGATAAAATTTCTAACTCTAACTCTTAGCTGTGACATCTTGGGAATTCCTGATTTGCTTTTTACTAGCTGTTTCTTGTAAATTGAATGCTATTTCTTCATCTTCAATTGAATTACTTAGAATGAAAAACATGAGCTAAATCCCTGGTGTATATTTCTATATGCTCTTCGGAGCATTTCGTAACATATTAAAATGCTGGTTCCCCCATCTAGTCTCATGAAGAATATTCCTTGCTTGCATATGACCTAAGGTGAATTAGGTGCCTTAAGGTTTAAAGGTGCTTCATGGAGAAGTCTATGGGACAGGTGAGGTATGGAATCTTAATATTAGAAGACGGTGAAGATTCAATGAGGAATTGTTAGGTGTAAGGTGGGAGTTCAGCTAAGTGGTTTTTAGTCTGTGCTCCCGTGGAAAAACAAATTATGTGAGCCTCATCAATAAGATAAAGCCATATACAGAAAAATTAAAATAACTGATAGACTTTTTTTTCCATATTTTTCTTCATCTTTTGGCATCTATACCAATTGTGAAAAACCTAATGAAGAAATAGCTATTCATTTCCTCCCAGAAATGTCATTGTGGCTCCAGAGAGCCTGAGTAGTATAGATGCTTCACTTAAGAAAAGCCTTAGGTACTGTTTAGTAATGTATTTGTTTTGGACTCGTTAAGGGAGAAGCTTTCAAGGAAGCCTGGAATGTTTTACTAACTTTAGCATCTCCCTCGAGACTTCTGTGCCAATTCAGAGGATAACCTGGTCAGGCAAATGTTCTAACACGGCCTCATTAACCAGTTCTCCCACACTCCCTTTTGAGACTCCTCTACTTGGTTTGGAGACATGGAGGCCTTTCTAAGGCTGGTAGATTTTGGACTCCCCTTTACTTACCTTTCCAAGGCTGAGTTGCAAAACTTTTGCTTCGCTGTTCACTTTATCCTCTTCTTCTTGTTTCCGTAGTCAATGCTCTCTTTTTTGTAGGTATCCCCCACATTTTCACATATTTATTTCATAGTACAAGCTTCCCTTGCCCCATTGATATTAGATGCCTTTTATATTCATGCCCATTAAAATCACCCTCACATTGACCATCTCAACAGCCTCTTGGGACTTTGAGAAAGACCAATGGAATTTACATCCCGCTCTAGTGTTTATTCTTCATGGGGTGAAGCTGTATGTGTAGGATAAATCTAGGCCTTACTTTGAGTCACGCTTTTTATCCTTTTAATAAACTCTAGTCCCATTGACTGTTTTTCTCCTTTTTTTATAAGGATGGCTTTTTTCTCCTCACTCCCCAGTTTCTGGTAATATATATTATATGAGGTTTTTTGTCTCAGATTATTGCTGTTAATTAACATTTCTTGATATATTGTCTCTTTTAATTGTACTTGTTTCGA